ACAGTGTAGGGGTGAAGTTGTTCTCTACCTGGCGCAGTTCCGTTGTTGCGTTGCGCACAGGCCTTACGCGAACAGACTAAAGTCTTAGTACTGTATCGCTCAAGCTTCACCTCTTCAGGCTGCTCCTACAGCCCGCGGTGCGTTCCACCGGAACACTCGTGTGTGACTGAGGCAGCATGAGCGTCAGCGTGTGGTGCCGCAACATCGGCTGACGCCGCGATCAGTGAGGGACGTCAACAACTCAGCCGCGGGTTTATTGCATCCTCGGCTGCGACTGGGCGGAGAGTCTCACACTGCAGTCGGCCCATCAGAAGATGGGAGCATGGTTGCTGAAGAGCCTCCACTCTGCTCTGCGACAGCACAGTGCACACGGGACGAGGGATGGCGCAATGCAATCGGGAGTGAGCGTGGCCAGAGTCGGGCCCTGAACATCAATCCTTCGGTCGCCCAGCAGCGTGATCAGCTTCCGAGTTTGTGCAACCGCGCGGGCCTGTCGCCCAGTGCATTTCGACCATCAGGATTCATATCACGTCTTTAGCCGCAGTCTGGCGGCTGAAGACATTCGGCTCAGAATCGAGGTCGACGGCCTGAGTGAAGAGTCCCGCCGCAACGACACCGCAGAAATGTGATCGACGAGAGCAACGAAAACCCATCTCCACTGCGCGCCTGCTCGCACTAACACACACGCGCAATGTCTTATCGTCCTTGCGACGTGGACAACCCTGGCTCCAATCTCACATGGCTGGCCGTTTTCGGGGCCAACAGCCACTGTACGGGGTAAAGGGCTCTCCCACGCCGCGCGCCACGCCTCCGAGCCGAGAGCCAAAGCTCTGGTGATTGGTTACTAGCCGGTGCAAGCGAACAGCCATTTCTTTGTGCCATGCCGCTTGCCCCAAGCAGAACCGTTCCGAAGGGCAGATGGGCAACTGTACAACGATTGAAAGGCCGAAGAATCTGGCCCCGCTGACGCCTGAGGCGCTGTCTTACTTACTCAAGTGTAACAAGTAAAGTCTCGTGCCATCTCAACCCTCACACCTCCTCTCGCCCTCCCAGAAATGAAAAACAGCGTGCGACAACTACCAAGTTCCTTGCGACCAGGGTCCTTTACCGAAGATTTCACCTTCACGGCATTGACACTTGGACCTCGGCACTATTTTCGTCCAACACCATGAGTGCGAGAACGCTAACGAACGTGGTCAATGACCAGACGATAGCGCTAAATGCCATGATCTATGGCTATGCAGGCCATTCGCTTGTCACACCCCATGCTGCGCTTCAACAGATCTGGTGGACAGACGAAAGAATAAACGAGAAGGTCACGCAGGACTTCGTGACTTCGCGACTGCAACCACGAGAAAGGGAGCGACTGACACAACCTGTGGGCTTCGGCGATCTCTCAGACGACACATACATCGAATGGATCTTAGAAAAAGCGCGACGATTGTTCCTCGTGCTGGCTGAGATTGGCGAAGCAGATGGCATATTCGCCGTGGTTGATCGATCGTGGAATGATGATGACCTGCCTCTTGAGATGGACGACATCGAACAGCTGGCACTCACAAACAGACGCGACGAACATGCTAGTGCACGCTTCTACTCTACACAATTCACGTTTCTACTCAGAGAGCTTCAGAACGGTGTACACATAGATTATGCGTCGAACGAGGAAGTACCGCTGGAGTACGTCATGGGTCTACCACCTGCAGCTAGCCTCCAGAACTGGTCGCGTGTACACCTGCCCAAAAGACCCAAAGAGGTTTATGTGCGGCGAAAATTCGCACTAGGAAATGTCGAGTCACCGACCGCATTCGAATCGGCTTTCATATTGGACGTGGAAAGCGCTCGAATGGTCGAGCATGAACACATTGCTCCTGTTTGGGCTTCGTACACGGCGAAAGGGACGGGCTACGTGGTGACGAACTTTGTGGGACAACACACTCTACGGACCTTCATCGATCACCGAGACCCGACACAATACAAGAAGCTCTCCAAACCAGAGAGGAGATGGCTTGTTCTGAACTGGATGCATTGCTTGGCAGACGCTGTTACGACACTGCACCAGAACGGGTTCTGCCACTCTGCGGTACGACCATCGAACATTATCATCGATGACAGCAACGCGATTGCCTTCAGCGACATCAGCAGTCTTGAGACATTTCAGAGGGACAAAAGACTGGATGCAATGGATGCATATATCTATAGCGCACCAGAAACGCAGTCGATCCCTGGATCCTTTGATCCAAACGCTCCAGCGCCGTCACCTGTCGTAGCAAGCACTCGACACACCTCCATCACGAGCAAAAGCTCAGCCGGGTCGTCCAATAGTAGCGGCTCGTTAGGGAGGAAGCTGACAAAGACATCTACAAACGATTTCAGTGGCTTCAACTTTGGGTTTCGAAGAACGAAGCCTATACCGAAGCCGCGATCGAGAGTTCACGAAACTGAGAAGGCGGACATCTTCTCACTTGGCTGCGTTTTCTTGGAGATCATCGGGTTCATGCTGAAGAAGAAACCTCACGAGTTCATCAAGCATCGCTCATCGAAGCAAAGAACCAGTACTGGCGGCAAGAGCAGCCGCACAGATTCATCTTACCATGTTAACCTGGGTAAAGTTGAGAGCTGGATGGTGGTACTCGAAAAAGCTTCTTGCGAGCATGACGAAGATGCTTTCCGTGCTATCCCACATATTTTGACGCTGGTACGCAGTATGCTGAGCACGACACCGAATGGTCGACCGAACGCTCGAAGCGTCCGTGACAAGCTCCTCGAGATCCTGACCACTCATACCACTATTCCAGACATCCACTGTGGTGCGCATAAGCATGACTTTGTGCATACTGGGTCGTCCACTTCTGGCTCCGATCGAGCCTCCAGTGTGGCATCGCTGCGGACAATGTCGACGATAAGCTCGACATCAGATGCAGATACCATTCGACTATCCGCGTCCTCACTGACCCGCGTGAACTCAATCGTAAACTCTTACTCGGATCGCATGACTCTTGCTGGGATCTCAGAGGACGATAGTGCATCGATACGCACAGTCGAACCTCCACTATCCACACCGTACAATCCTACGCCACGACTCCCTCCTTTGGTCAGTCCACCAGCCTCGCCCACAGCAACAAGGATGCCAGCTTCCCCTTGTTCCGCAGAGCGACCATCGAGCCCGTCAAGACCTAGCTCTTCAACCCAAAAGAAATCATGGAAAGGGCCATTCTTCCGCATGCCTTGAGCTTCCATGGAAACCGATTCCAAGGTCGCAAGCGTTGTCTGATGTGGTCAATTACCCGCGGCCGCTTCCTACCTCTATGATCCATGATGACCGCGAGACGAGGAGTCAGGCCGCCAATGTTGCAGCAGGAGCTTTGCATCAGGTTACCGGTGTCACATCGCAGCAGAGCCATGCTTTTACGGGAAGCTGCATATCCACGCTATCGAAATGAACGACAGGCTTGGCAAGCCGTTGTGGCAAGGATATCAGCTCAAGGTGGAACAAGGAAGCTCTTGGGTGAAGGACAAGTGGAACAGAGCACGAGGGAAACGTTGGGCCATATACCCAACACACATGCTCATAGGAACGCGTGATAGCACAAGCTTGGCGCAGAGAAAGCCTGTATAGCGATGAATGCATGGTCTTAATAGCAATACCTTTTTGTTGTCCTTCCCCATGCAGGAAGCTCATTGCCTGATCGAGCAGGTGCTTTGGAGTTGTGCCACCAAACCTTGACAGTGACAGCATGTGCTTGCCCGTCCAACATGCGGGGTATCTCTGGGGTAAACTTCACCGAAGCTGCGATCGAGTAAGCACTTGACGTTCCCCGAACAAGGTCTTGTTGTTGATTTTTCTCCGCGGCGCGCGCTCCTTCAACGCCAACGCACGGGTCACACCACAACGTACAGTACCATAGGCAGTTTTGAAGCACGCCACGACGTGATATAACATCGAAAACATGCCACAGCCCACAGTGCCATGCATTGGCGATGCATATGCCCTTCTCACGAGGGTTGAACTCCTGCGAGGACGTTTGTTGATGCAAGGAGCTTGCTGCGCCGGCGCATGCGGGGAGTCCCAAACCTCCGCCAGCTAGCTAGATCAGCGTCTTGGCTGGCAGCTCATTCAGCGCCCTCATCTGACTTCGGCTCTTTCATATGCACCGCCAATGTTGTTGCACCACGATCCCAACCTCCTCGAGCCTCGCGCTTTCTTGCAGCCTCGCTGCTGGCGCCTAATCATGCCTACCGCGATAAGTGGACCATTGGCCATCGTCTGCAAGTACCTCGCGCGTCAGACATCAGCCGGCAGCTCCATCTGATTACGAATATGCCATCTCAATAGTCCATCCGAAAAGTGTCAAGGCTGTCGTGATCGACAAAGCGTGCAGCAACCCCTCTCGATACCGCCGCTAAGCCCAGGCGGCATGCATCCACTACAGATACCAGGGGCTTGATGTTGTCATAAACATGCAGGTCGGGTACCTTAAATACTTGGAAGAAGTCCCCTCATCCCTTCTTCGAGAACGGGGGAAGGACCTGTATCAGACAAGCAATCATCATCATCATCACCATCATCACCACAAGAATGCGGTCTCTGGCATTTCTTTCGACCTTATTGGCTTCGGCCACAATCGCTACAAGCACCCTCTTAACACGATATGCCAATGATACTGGGTATAAGCTGCAGACGGGACCCCTCGACACACCCTGGACCGCAGAAGTCGGCACAAATCCATGGCCTGAGCACCCCCGTCCAAAGGTTCAGCGCTCACAATGGAAAAACCTCAACGGCGTATGGCGATGGAGAAACGTGACAGCTGGTCAGGTCAACTCGCCGCCCACAGGGCAGACGCTCGAGCGGTCGGTATTGGTCCCGTCGTGTCTTGAGAGCGCATTGTCTGGTAAGTCCTTCATTTCTGTTGTGCCGTGAAATCAGTCCTGATCGTTCTCAGGTATCATGGAAAGAGGGCATCTCTACAGCTGGTACCAAACGACATTCGACATTCCGTCCAACTGGCCAACTGGAAACCGTGTGTTGATCAACTTCGGTGCTGTTGACTACGAAGCTACAGTCTTCGTCAACGGCAAAGAAGTGGGCTTCCACAGGGGTGGCTATTTCGAGTTCACCTTTGATGTGACTGACTATCTCTCGACGAATGGCACAAACGAGCTGTGAGTGGACTGCTAGCTGTCTCTTTGCACACACTCACATTGACATTTAGGCTGGTACATGCTTTTGACCCTACAGATACTGAAAGGTACCAGATTCCCATTGGCAAACAGACCCTAACCCGTGAGGGCATGATCTGGTATACACCTTGTACTGGAATATGGCAGACCGTGTGGCTGGAATCGACGCCGAGCGAGTACATCATGAAATTGGATCTGGCTGCTGGTGCAGATGGTTACGGTATGTGTACTTTCGCGAAGCTAAGGGCCAATTGCTGACATGCCATAGTCAATGTGACAGTACACAGCAGCACAGATGGCTCCACCCCATATGAAATCACCGTGCACGAACTTGGCTCAGATGCAGCAAAGGCTACTGCAACAGGAAACAGTGGCAGTCCCTTTGTCTTCAAGGTCGATTCTCCCGATCTATGGACTCCCAGCACACCGACGTTGTACAACATTACAGTCCAGCTGGGAAGCGACTCAGTTTCGAGTTACACCGGATTTAGGACTATTTCCAGGGGTGTTATCGACGGTGTCCAACGGCCACTCTTGAATGGAGAGTTCGAGTTCTTCTGGAGCCCTTTAGACCAAGGCTTCTGGCCCGATGGCATTTATACACCACCGACTGTAGAGGCCATGCGCTACGACTTGGAGAAGCTCAAGGAAGTCGGCTTCAACGCGGTCCGTAAGCATATCAAGGTCGAGCCTGCTCTGTACTACAAGGCCGCTGATGAGCTGGGATTCTTGATTATTCAAGACATGCCTTCATTGCGTCCCGAACTGCCAGATCCAAACAATACTTGCGGTACCATCCAATTGGAAGGCCCAGATGCACAGCAAGAATTCAACAGACAGCTGGGCTTACTTGTCGAGCAGCTGAAGAGCTACACTAGTATCTTCGCGTGGACTATCTACAACGAAGGGTGGGGCCAGGCGACAGATGCAAGTCAGCCATGGCCCGAGTTTGAGCTCACAGATCTCGTGCGTTCTCTCGACCCGACACGTCTTGTCAACGCAGTCAGTGGCTGGACGGATCACACAGCTGGAGACTTCGACGACAATCACCACTACTCGACACCACAGTGCGGTTCGCCGTTCTGGTCAGTGCAAGGCTCCGGCCCGTCTGGTTACAACTCCGCCTACGACCCATCTCGTATTGGCTTGCAAGGCGAGTTCGGTGGAGTTGGACAGCAGCTGCCCTTCGAGCATGCATGGTTCGACGACTTGGCTAAGCAGACAGCCTACGAGCTGACTAACACCACCGAAACTTGGAACTACCGATCCATTCAGAACATTGTACAGCTTCGCGAACAAATCGAGCGGTACGCTTGCTCTGGAGGCGTCTGGACGCAGACCACCGATGTTGAAGGAGAGGTTAACGGGCTATTGTCTTATGATCGGAGGATCAACCGCATGGACAAGGAACTTTGGACTAGTACGATCCAGTCACTGTACGATGCTGCTGCAAAGCGAGGCAATAGCTCGGTGGCGATCACAGAAAGGAATGACGGACTAGCAGGCTTGCAAGACGTCTTTCCATAAACCATGAAGAATTTGTCTTTCTCGCGATAACGTAACGTAGCGTAGCGTAGTGTAGTACTTTTCAAGGCTGCAAGTCAAACTCATCTACTACTGACTAGACTCGATCCTAATAGCCCGACTTGTCCGCCTTTCTTCATCCTGATTGCCTTTCTTCTTCTCCTGCTCCCTTTGCAATGCCCACCACTCCCCTTCCAGCATCCCCAACTCCACACCATCCCACCACCGCCCCTCATGCCACAGCGCCTCCCTCTCCCTTCCTTCCACCTTGAACCCCACCTTCTCATATAACCTCAATGCCCCCGTATTCCACTCGAATGCCCGGATCCGCACTCTGTGCAGCCCTGCACGACGGAATGCGTAGTCCAAGGCCCACTTAATAGCTTCGCGTCCGTAGCCGCGGCCTTGGAAGGGGGGAAGGATATCAATACCAATTTCTGTCGACCTGTGGTGGATGGCATTGGGCGGGAGGCGCGAGAGATGGATCTCGCCTATAGCTGTGCCCCATTCGCTCTTCAGATTCCCCCAAGGCGCGCCATTGTTGCGCATCTCTTCGTCTTCTTTGGAGGTTTGGGTCTCCTTTAGCCAGATTGTTGCGCCGAGGAGGGAGTCCTCGGCCACGCTTTTCATGAATTTTGTGGCGTCGGCGGTGCTGGGCAGGGCAGTGTTGGTGAAGTTGCTATTCATGAAGCCGTCCTGGTCGTTGCCTATGGCGAGGTAAAGGGCGAGGTCTTCGGGTTGACGGACTGCGCGAAAGGCGAGGCGGGTTGTGTCGAAGGGGCGGAGAGGGTCGGGGATCAGCTGAGGGTTTGGCTTGGTGGCCATGTTGATTGAGTATATCGGGTTATGCCTCTAGATGCTCCTAGAACGCGAGTGCTGGCGAAATGTTGAGTCAAGAAACGACAATGTTGAGTGGTGTTGGGTATCTGTTGGTTGACTGCCAAAATGCTTCTTTTCAGCTAACGGTGGGGAGGCTGGTGGGCTTGGTCCTTTTCCTTCTCTTTCGAAAATGCTCTATGTTAGGCTCACGCGCTTCGTTGACAAAACATGAATAGCAAGTCCTGATTCTGAGCGTACTTGAGGATATCTCTGCGCCCTTTTGATAGTGTTCGAGTCATTGGGCACGCAGATTGAGGGCGGGCTGCATATGCAGATCTCGCACTAACCTCCAACAAAAAGGCTCATCCTGAGATCGTGGACGGTTCCCTGGCATTTTCTATGAGAGTAGCTTTCGATGTCATCAAGGTATCACATTGCAGCTATTGAGTTTATCGTGTTGTCTGCATTTCGAGATGAACGTATCTGCACGTGCGTGCTGACAAAGCATTCTCGCGAAACTGTGGTTCGCAGCCTCCAAGTTTCCAGATTGACGCTTCGCGCCTCTTTCTTTCCAAATTCTGCATCAACATTGCTATGTTGTATTCATGTCTGAAAATTAATCCCACGCTAGAGTCTCGCACCTTCTGTCAACCGACAGTGCGAACCCATGCTTCCGATGCCGGACTTTGCCAAGCATTGCCTGATTAGTCCCTAGCGCGCGGACTTCGACGAAAGCCCAGAGCCAGTGCAAGCATGCGGTCTGTCCAGTTCGATTCCTTGAGTCCAGATCAACAACAATAGACAAGGTCATGACCCTACATCGATGGATGCTGACCGGTGTACAAGGCCGTATGTTGGTGTTTTAAACATGTAGCGCGCAGTGTGTAACCATGCCTGTCCGAAGTATGCGCAACATATCGCAACATACATTTCATTGATATCCCTACCTCAAAGTCCAGCAATTACCATCTCAGTTGAGTTTGTGTCGATCCAACACCCTGGTCAGCGTGACTAAATGCGCATTGTACACTTGCAGAATGTCTTGCCTTCCTTTGTTCTCTTTCAGCCCATCCATTTCTTCGGCTTTCAGATCCTACCAAGACCCACCGGGTTTGGGGCCGGGCGAGCAGGAGTTACCGACTCCAGTGACGACTCCAGAGTTGACTGGCGAGTTTGACAGCCCGTACGACAAATTATCGCAAGTGTCGGTTTCCCACAGGCGTATTGATTCGTTCGAGTGGGTAATGACACGGTCGGCTCCGAACACTCCTCCAACATTGGGCAACTTAAGCCACGAGCCGTACTCGTCTCCACCATCAAGGCTGATTACCTCTGCTCCATTGCCAGTCCCCAATGAAACCTGGTCAACCGGTTTTCGACCTTGTGAGGATAGAGAGAAACGAGGGTACTTCGACTGGTGGCCTTCACCAAGCCTCAGTAATGGCAAAGGATATACCAAGGTATCAGAAGACGAAGAAGTCAATGAACGAGATGCACTAGCTCCTATGTCTACCAGCCGCAGATCGATTGCAGGGCCGCCACGGCCACTCAAGCCCGAGGCACATATAAGTCTAGGATCACGCACACACTCTTCAATACCCTCATCAGCTACGGGGACCGATCAGCTTCGACCTTCACAAGAGTTCAACGCACTTGGAATAAAGTTTCCATGTACCCCTCCGCCCAGCCCACCAACTGTGACTGCCTCTAAATTGCACCAACTCTCGAGCTCACGAAGTGTCTCTCCTCGAGTGTCCGCGCCACGCTTAACGAAGCGGGTCTCTTTCTCACCAATCATTGATGAGGTCGTACTGGAACCGTTCCCGGATCTTGAGTCCTCCAAGCAGCTGCCATCGTCATGGGGTACCTACTTGCCTTCGTCGTTTCTCGTGGCGCGCCCTCCACTACTACGAGCGACTTCTTCGCCAGCACCTAGAGGGAGGACCACGATTCGACCAATTCTGAGACGCACAAACTCTCCGAATCACCAGCCAATTTCTGACTTTACACCAAGCACTGAGATGGTGCATTTCCCGCACAGACTTAACGCCGAGGATGCAGCAATTATGGCCTCGCCGATGCCAGTTCAGAGGCTATCGGTGGCGGCACTCCAAGCCAATGGACACAGGAATCTAGAAGGGGGCTTAGTCGAGACTGACAGAGCTTTTGTGTCCTTACTGCAAGCCACACAGAAGCCCGCGCGGCGGCGATGCGATTCTCTACTTTCCAACGCATCAAGCAATCTCGGTGAAGAACCCAAATCATGTTAGCTTATCCAACATTGTCCGCATGTTCTTTTTGGTAATTTCTAGATGTTCCTTGGTATCTCAAAGTTCAATTTTATATCGATAGCTTGTATGGGCGGTCTCTGACCCAGGTTTCTCTAACAGACACAAGAAACACAATCAATCGAGATCATATTTCAATAGCAACGTCTTTCCCTCACTCTTCATCACTCTTGCAAACACACTAAAGTCCAAGGTCTCCATTGACGGATACACACGTGCTTGTTCTGGTACTCCAATCTTATCAATAACTGCCATCAGCTGCTCCCTCAATTGCATGTAGAGACTCATGAGGAGCGAAACACTTGGCTGATGTCGGCAACGCGAACACGAGCGGTGGCAGGTGCGATGTGTAGTCTCATGATTAGGGGATACGGTGGAGATGGTGCCGGTGATTCTGTGATATCGGAAGGAACGACTGAGAATGTGAGCTGCATATACACGAACCATGGAAATTTTGAATATTGTGCATTCAAGTCCGTTGAGCAAGGTTGAAAAACCGTGAATACAGTGTACATTGAAAAGTGTGCATACAAAACCATCCTCAACAGCTCAATAAGTGCTTCGCGTCTCGGATAAGATCGAACAAGCTGCGAACAGTAGACACTGTGTTGCCCATCAAATCGAATAAACCCCGTCGCTCGTCTATACCACCTTGAGTTGTAGGATGCAGAGCTCTGCGAGTTCCATCCCCTGCCGTTAAAAGGAACCCATCTGGTTCGTGAACGATGCCGCTTGAATGCTTGAGGGGTTGGAATTCTCATCGTAGGTAGGTTTGTCCCAATTATCATCCATGGAGACCGGCAGGCCAGGTTTTGACACACGCAGTTCAGAGGCCTTTTCCCTTATTTCGCCTTCCATGGTAAGTATAAGCTCTTTCAAGTCCCAACAAGCACCGACTGCGACACTTTGATACTTGATACGACTGCGAAACTTGCAGTTCAGATACTGTAGCTAGATCCGTGGCACTTTGGCCGCACGAAAAGTCGATTGACCATGACCATGGATGATGAGGGACTGGAGGTGCTTTGAATACAGAGGCTTTGAAGTAAGGTCGCATAAAGAATTGGGAGCGGGAACTCTGCGCTGATGTGCAACTCTACTGTGGGATGTTGGAGCTTGATGTTCGAGTGCTTGTTAGTGGCAAACCTGGTCAAATCCTCGGTGAGCTGTCGGACGAGGAGGGTTCGAAAACAGTCGTTCCGTTGTTCGCGCGATCTTGCACTCGGTGTCGTGTAGAATACCTCATCAGTAAAGCCCACGTGGATCGTGAGCGAAGAGAGCAGAGCAAGGCTGAGATCTCCTACTTGAGCGAACCAGCTTTTAAGAAGTCATTATGCTCCGTAGCAAAAACCCAGCTTCTGAAAAGTTATCTGACCTCAAAGTCATTCAGATGGTAGAGCACCTGCTGAGCGTTCATGAAGAGGTCCTTGCATGTTCGCATTGGATGTGTTGATAGGCATTTTGGACATGCTTGGGGTCAAAGGCTCGGCATCTGCGGTGAGGGTGTATGGATACCGATGAGCCATCGATGACCCAGAGGTAGCCAAGTATGTGTTGTTTCATCCCGGTCGGGAATGTGAGAAGCGTCGGTGACTCGCAGTTGCCCAGCATCGTGGCAACGCTGGACTGGGTAAATCGTGTCATCCAGCTTAGGGGTTGCATTACTTACGCAGGCAGCTGGCCGTGTCTCACAGTTTCCGAAGCGGTGAAGTAGAAGCAGGAAAGGTGTGGCGCAGTGTGGTGACGTTGTTGGAGTCAATAGACAACTGCACAGATGGAAGGAGCGATACAACGCGAAAGACACGCTAGTAGCCTTGACCATGCGTGCAACGCACCTTGCGACGCTCTTTCGAGATCAAAACTTTAGGCTCATTTCGATGCGTTCGAGGACGCTGAGCTCGTTGAGCTCCATACACGCTGCAACCCATTGGGATCCACCTTGTCCTTCTCACCAGGCACCACTCGCTGGCACCACGAGCACCAGCTTCTCAGCTTGCCTGCATCCTCTCTTGGAAGCCATTGTACCGACTTCTCACGCTCATCTTCATACATCTTCACGCACTCACCAACTCTGGTGTACTTCTTGTGCTTCACCTTAAGCACTCCACCAATGCCCTCAACCTCTTGAGCCAGGTAGCTCGTCCCTCGCCACCGCTCTGGGGACTCTGGGGTGTCATGACTTCGCTCCTGCGCAGCCAGCGCGGCCAGCGTCTCTGCCTCGCAGGTCTCGTGCTCAACGAGCCTTGCACCTAGGCAGCTGGCGCCTCGGCCACACTCAACACCTTGCTCGCCTTCACCGGCTCCTGTGCCTACACCGCCCAGATAATGACTATATCGTGTGCGCCAGCTCCAACCACGGACGTAGTTGGTGTCGGCGTTCTTCAAATCCTTCCCACATGGTGCGCAAAGCCACACCACGTTGTCACAGTTGCATGGCGTTCTTTCAAAAGCCGGCGCAGTAAACGCTCGTGGCGCATCACTGTCCCAGAACACGGGCCGTGGGTTCGGCGAGGGCGGTGGCGAAGGCGAGCTGCCTGACGATGACGTGCGCCCCTTCGTGACGGCCATGAGCAGCGGGAGAGGTGCTTTGGCGCATGTTCGACATATCCGTCGATGACGAGCGCGCAGCGCAGGTTTGGGCGGTGGCTTCATCGTGCAATTCTGGTCTCTGTCAGCGCCACTTCAGCTCCCCAGCTCGGATGTCATACCCGGCACACGACCTTTGCGCATCGCTGACACTCGCCTACCATGTCTCGCGCACAGTTACCGATCTTTCCGCTCGTCAGATGCCGCGAGGACTGGAAACCGCTAGGCCTCTCGCGGAACCGCGCCTGTAGCTGCGAGTCGGTGTCGTCATCTTCGTAGCAGCAATGCAGCGTGTGCTTGATGAGCTGGTCGCGGTACTCGAGTAGGTTGGCGCGAAACTGCCTACATGTGCGCGAGAGATCATGCAGTGTGTTCAGATCGAGCTGGCCAGCAAGCTGTCTGACTATACTATGTGGGTATGGTGGTTAGCATACCATCATGGCGCGGAGCTTGTCCTTGCTGTAGGTTCAGGCTCACGGATAACAGCTGAGGGCTGCCGAGAACCCGTTGATATTCGGATTCGGCCTCTCGTCTGCTGTTTTCGCATGTTCATCCTCGGTTGAGGCCAGCAAGTCATGTAGCAACGGCTTCACATCCGGGATGCTGGGTGTTGACGTGTGTGGGGCAAGATACGCAGGGAGCGCGTCGTCCTCTAGATCAACTAGAACCACCATCGTGGAGAGCTGCGGTAGAGATTCGCAGCATTGAAGCCAGGAGAAGGCTCAAGTTATACAAGGAGAACTCCTGGGCGTGGTCAAAGCGATGCCGGCGTCATGACGAGCTGAGGTGCTGGTGCGAACGGGAAGGCCCCACTGCTGCAGTCACGATCTGATAAGATTTTGTGGATTCAATCTAATCAGATCATCAAGACGTCTGTGCTCGCCGCCTCAATGCGCGCACGCCATCAACGAACCCACCTCAACCACAGACAGTGTGACATACAGCTTGGAGGTGCATTGAGCATCCGCCGGCCTTCCGGCTGGTCTCAGCACCAAGCACGCCTTGCGATCCTTCAGTGTTGGCATACGACAGTCATGTTGCCAGGTTTGCCCATCTGGTATTGAACTGCGACAACGACGTTCTTAACCCAACAACTTCAGATCGATCGGGATTTCGGCGGGCGGAGCAGGACTTTGCAGCGTAGGGGTGGCTATTCTGCTTCTATTCAAGCTGCGGGATATGCGTACGCAACAAGACACCAACAAAAGACAACTACGGTCTCAGTCAATCCCGCCAGCCTATAACGCGAAGCGGAAGTCTGGATGCTCATCACCCAACTCCTTCAGACTCTCGTCCGACACCTCCGGCAGCTCAGCCCTCTTCTGGTCCCGCCCCTTGTTCTCCTGCTTGCATCCAAGCCACGTGATGGTAGCAGCCAAAGCTCCCATGCATGCGAGGCCCAGACCGGTGCTAAAACCGGTATGGAATCTCGGTGATTCCTTAAACATGAACACATTTGAGCTGACGAACGCACCTGCAGTGCCGAAGTTGATGATAGCTGCGATGGCCACGGCACGCTTATACCCACTACCTGTGTTGATTGATACCCAAATGATCGAGATGGGCATGGCCAGGTAGCAACCACAGGCGATGAAAAACATGCCCATGTAGCGCACCTTCGGGTTCTCGGGGTGGACAATCTCAACAGTAAGACCAGATGCGAGAACAGCCCAGCCGAGGATGTAGAAGTAGTAACGGCGCTGCAGGTACTCGCTCATGTACGCGAAGACCACGGAAAAGATGGCGCCGACGACGTACACAGGGATAGAGTGAACCTGTGCTTGTGTTGCGGTGTACCCAAGACCCTTCAGGATCGTGGGCTGGAAATTGGCAAGTGAGTTCGCGTTCTCGGTGACACCGAGGTTCATGGCAACGCTATGTCTTGCGTCAGTTCCCATTCACAGACAGTAAGTAAGAGGTTGCACTTACCCAGTCCAGATCTTCCAATCTTTCAGATAGTGCAGCGCCTTCTTGAAGCTGATATCATCATCAGCCACATGCCCTCCGTCAGCTTTGACACGAGCCAGCATGAGAGTCTTGTCTTCAGGCGACAGGAAGCTACTGTCCTCGGGGAATGGTGGCACCACTGGCCAGCATGCAATACTGGAGAAGATGGTGATGCAGCCTTCAATGATGAAGATCCTATCACACGGTAAGTCTAGATTCAGAGGTGCGCTCTAAATAGCGAAACTTACCACCTCCACGCACCGTACCCAGCAGTACCGTCCATCTTCGCAATCAACGACGAAAGAAACCCATTGATAGCTCCAGCAAGAATCCCCGCAGTACAAAAGAACACAAACCGCGTCAAATACTCAGCCTTAGTATAATACGCCCCAATCAAATACGCAGCACCAGAAATATACGCAGCTTCAGCCATGCCCTCTAGCAGACGACAGACAACAAGCTGCTCCCAACGCTTCACGAGACCACACCCAATGACACAGATACCCCACGCCAGCATCATCACGCACAGGCTCTTCGGTCCGTACTTCTTAAAAGCGATTTGTAGGGGGATGCCGGCGACGAGGTAGCTGAGGCTGAAGACCCAGACGCAGACGTTGAAGCGTTGGCCGATGAGGTTAAGTTCTTTTTCCATGCCTTGGATTTTGGCGTTGCCGATGTTCGCACTGGATAGCATATCAGCTGAAATCTTGAACGAAGGCTACTGCTTCAAGCTATCGTCCGTCTTATAACGTCCCGTGGCCCTTGAGGTTAAGAGATAGACTAGGAAGCGAAGATTATCAACATACCGATCAATGAAGTTCACAAGGTAGAGAATCCATAGAGTTGGCAGGATCCTGAAATCGAGTTTGCGCAAGAGCTGGCGTTCTGCAGCGTGGTCAAACGGCGGATGAAGGGCCGACGATGCATGAGAAACCGGAGAGTCCTGCGCGAAGGCGCCCTTCTCAACGGAGCTGGAGTCTGCCATCTCGAAGGTGTGGTTGAAGGTGTGGTCGAAGGGAATAAGAAAGTGATGATGCAACTACCCGACAAGAATTGGGATCGTAGTCGACGAGCTAGCACATAAAACACCGCATCAACGGCGCAAATATAACTCCCGGAGCGTTCAACCACGGATACTTTTTCGAAGAGGCTTGCAAGCCGAGCGATGGAGAATTGGAAGATGGAAACGTCGGCGGTCCAGATGCATGCATCAAACTCCGGATATGGTGGGATGCCACCAGCCTTGCAACACCAACCACTCTTGCTTCAGGGACACAAGGTCGTAGATACCCCATTTACGTCGAATCTTGTCAAATCCTTTTGAAGGATTGTCGGTCAGGTCGCCCTCATCCTTTACGCCAGGATCTATCGGGCCTTCCCGTCAGGATGAGAAGAGCATCCTATTCGAACAGGACCCCGGTCAATCTTTGGTTTGTGCAGCAGCGTTGCGTTGCAGCTTGTTAGGGCTGAGGTGAGCCTACGAGAACCCCCGCAGCTGAGTCCGGAGCGTCCAGCCTATCGTTGTCTTATATCATCGGTGGTATGTCAGATTTGAGCTTCATCCCGCTTCAGCCCCTAATCGGTGCCAGATCGCCGGACCCGTCACGGACGTTACGATCCTTCGGCAGGCCCTCCCGTCCGCCGCCATCAGGCGTTTAAGCTTCATTCCTCGGTGTAGAAATTTTCCGCACTTACGTGAAGCAGGCTGGACGGCTTGCCGCGCGAGCGAATAATGAATGCATCCAAATTTGCACCAAATATATGACGCGTTCCTTGCGCAGTCACAGCATTGTACTCCGACATCACCATAACCAAACGTATCAACGGCTATTCTGCCTGCATAGTGAGCAAATAGTCTGGCTACCTTTCAAGCAGCGGTTGAGCCGTGTGTTGCTGTGATCCCCGTTACGGAACCAAAAGGCGACGGCTGCATTTCTGTCGAATACCTGGTCAAATTCATTTCATCTGCCAATCGGCGCTTTACGAGGAATACCGCCTGAACAGTGGCGCACTGGCTGTAAAAACGAGATGTCTCAGATGCAAACTGAAGGATGAAACTCATTCCAAGCGTACTCGTGAACTCCGTGACGTGGACGGGAAGACTTCGGTGCCATCAAAATGAGCTCGTACTGTAGAGGCCGCTGAGACGGACTCGAGGAGAAGACGCACCGATTACCACGGTCTCAAACAAGACGTATTAGTATGCGTTGAAGAGACAGGCTTCGATAGTCGAAATCTTTTACGACATTGGTCTTGCACATGTGAGTTGCAACATCACCTTTCTGACTGCAGTTGCTGTTGGATGGAAGTGGCTCTCCGGTGATATAGGGCAGGAGTATTTGGGTTGTTTACCGTTCTGATTGGGACTAGGGTCAATAGCTTGTATGGGCGGTCTCTACCCCAGGTTTCTCCAATTACACAAAAGACACGCAATAAAACCACATCATATCTCAATAGTTGCTTTATCGATATTCGATGCTTTTCCACGCATACCCAGAAGAGCAGCGGGACCTGCGTTGGGTCTCAGCGACTCTAACGACAATCGCAACCCTGCTGTTGCTCTGCAGACTGTCAGCGACCGTCAAGAACAGAGGATGGCTAGGACTGGAAGATGGGCTGGTGATAGCAGCTAACGTAGGTACACATCTTAATGTTTCAGTGGTTGACTGACGACCAAGGTGTTCCTCATCATATTCACAGCCATGATATACGAAGCAACAATACATGGATTTGGCATGCGAATCGTCGACATCAAACGCTCAGGTGGAGATCTCAAAACAGCGATGAAGGTTCGTTAGACATACACAGTCTTCTTCAGATCACAGTCTGACTTCTTAGTGTAGTTCTTTTGGCTGACACAGTCCTTCTACATACTCACTAATGGCTTCAACAAGATGGCCTTCGTCGCCTTGTACTATCGGATCTTCCCGCTGTCACGTTTTCGGCAAGCCTGCATGGTCTTGATGGGTGTATCCATCGGCTGGACTGTGTCATATCTGTTCGTCATCATCTTCCAGTGTACGCCGGTACCCCGTGTGTACGACCGGACCATACCAGGGACCTGTATCAATTTCTTCTGGCAACGGTACGTGCGAAATTTCCTTTCAAAGCCTCATTCGAGCAAGATCGTGTAGAGCAGAGAGCTGTGGACTAACGGTTATCGCAGCTGGTCAAACGCAGTCTCCAACCTCCTCACCGACATATCCGTCTTCATCCTCCCAATACCGGTCCTCGTGCGGCTCAACATGTCCATCGGGTCTCGCATCGGCTTGGTCATGCTGTTCTGTATTGGCTTCTTCATCTGCCTGACGACAGCGCTGCGCATGGCGACACTGCCACTCACCCTCAGAACCAATGAACCGTCGTGGGAGTCTGCACCAACGAATCTTTGGAGTTTCATCGAGTCTGCTACAGGTGTCATCTGCGCGTGCTTGATCAGTCTCCGACAGAGTGTTTGTGCGCTGTGGCCGAAGAGGTGGCGAAGTCGCAAGGGGACGTCGTCCGGGCAGTGTCGATACTGCAACAGTGATGGTCCCAGCATAATTGGGTCGGGACATTCGCAACAACGCGACGGTACAGGGGCTGGCAATACAAGCGGTTATCGTATGGGAGATGTTACAGGCTCCAGGAAGGGTGTGCGAGAGACGTATGCTTCGACTAGTCCAAGCGAAAGTCAAGAGCAGATCGTTGGACGCGCGAAGACTGAGGCACATGTCACGACCACCATGGATGGGCGCAAGAGCGTGAGTGAGAGTGATGACTTGGATCTGCAAGGTATCAAGGTGACCACTGACTTTCAGGTGGTAAGAGACTGAATACCAGTACTCTTCATATTGTATTTAATTATTGCTCGCAGCACCTATGTTATTGGTCTTGCCGTGACTATCAGCTTATGATAGAATATCACTTCTGGGGACGATCATGTGCTGAGGCCCCTCATCTTGAGTCTGCGGTTCGGCTGAATGCCTGAATTTTTCCCATTCAGCCACAAGCGAGATGTTGCAGACTTTTGTAGTCCACCGACAGTCGAGCGAATAATCCATTTCTACACGGCCAACCAAAAGTCGCTTGCGGCACTGTGTTTTCCCGCGGCGGCTCTGCGGGTATATTCGAGGTGCGCAAGGTGGGGCCGTCATCTATCATATGCAAAAATCGGGGAGAAGTTACTGAACCGGCGCTTCCTTCTTCGCCTGTTAGTCTGCTTGACTACAATGTAGCCTTGCAGTATACTTTATTTGTCAACGGGTTGCGAAAGGCTAGACATCACGAGCTGGACACATTGAAGTCCTCTATCTACAGTTGATGGTCGGACATACACGTACATTGGTCGCTCTGTATCATTCAAGACAGACTGGCGTAAGGCCACCTGGGTCCACACCTTGCCAGTGGATTTTAGTGAAAGAGAAGGTGAAAAGATATGGAATCTAATGGACTTTTACATCCGTCAAGGTGGTCCTGGCAAGCGAGTTGAAGTCTGCATTGAAGCCAAGATCAAGGTTGATGGTTTGAACAAGGCCTTTATTAGCACAGCAGTCGATCCATCTTCAGTTTCTCTAGTAGTAGCTACCCATACTATAAGCAAGGCTCGAACAAACCAGTTACTCAAGGAGAATGAGACTCTTGAGAGGGCTGAGAGGATACGGCCAAAGGTTGATCATGTCAGTTCTATTCATAAGTACTGGGTCGTGCGGTACCTGTGTGTGACAACTTCCAGGGCTGGTGTTACGTCCATCCACCAACTCGCGAGCACTTTGAGATCCGAGAGAATGAGGTTGAGAGCTTTGACAATATGATCCTGAAGGCGAGGAAGGCGCATCTGTTGCTCTCCCTCCAATGAAGCTGGTTGAACTTTGGCAGACATGTTCCAACAAGCTAACTGTCAATCCTCACAACGAACGAGCCATTGGCAAGACAAGGAAGAAGCGCCGATTAATGTCCTATTCTTCAGACAACAATGACACTTCCATAATGATGCGGATGGTCAGGGAACAGCAGAAGATTAATCTGCAGAACCAAGCATTGCAGATGCAGGAGAGAGCCGAGGAGCAACAACAACGGATTGAAGCACGCACTGCTGTTCAGTTCCCTCCTGTCTACAGCATCTGTCGCGGTGGATTGTGAGTGATCCGTACGCATGTGGGAAGAATTGAAGGATTGTATTGAGGTTGTATTGCACTATTATGTATGTTTAAATATGTTGTGGTCTCTCGGTTGAGACCGTATTACCCTGGTATAGACTGTTCTGGACTAGCACATTCCTGGGCCAGTATATAGTCGCCTTCTCCTTACGTAGCTAGGTGAGGTACGATAGGCAGTAGCACTCTAAACCGTGACAGCATCACTCACCCATTCCACACGTCTCAGCGTCCTCGGCCGTCTACTCCTGCTTATGCAACCAATACTGTCAAGGCAGGACATCCTCTCACCAGTTCAAGTCCCATCAATGGAGAAGGAAAGGTGGACACCCGTTCTACTGTGAGAGAGTTCATGAGGTGGCTAGTCAGTGAGCAGCCTGAAGAAGATAGGACAGAGTTTGAACACGCTCAGGAGATTATTGTTGAACAGATGTGGACAGTTGGAGACTTGAGGGACATGTCTTTAACAAGCAGTGAGTTGTACCGTATTGCTACTTCTGAGCCCTTCCGACTCAAGGATGGTTTAGTAAGACACTTCCGGGAAGACCTGTGGAGATTCAAGGCAGTCTTCCGAGCGTCTGGTGCAATTTCATAGCAAGTTATAGCATAGGGTGCCAGAAACCCATGAGTCTCCGCACATATAATTCCTATAATCTTAGAAACTCATAGGTTCCCACACACAAAAATCCCCAGATGATCCTGTACTATTAGTTTGCACAATATCACAATGTACAACTACCACCCACAATCACCACTCCCCTGCTGCTAACTGACGATGTGCTTCATCTAGTGCTTCTTGTTGTACGTAAAGACCCTCAGCAGCGTAGTCAAAGTGCTTCACGGCAAAGCAATCACAGTGGCTGTTGTGAACAGCATCTGCTAGAAACGCTCCAAAGGATTCATAGCTGGACCGCGTCCATACGAAGTTCCTCTTGATGTAAGCCTTCAGCACCCCAAACGTCAACTCGATGGGGTTGTAGTCCGGTGAGTATGGTGGCAGGTACCTCACAATATAGCCAGCATTTTCAATAATGCTTGCGACACTGGTGTTTGTATGGATGTTGACATTGTCTAGAATGATTACCATGAGCTTGTTGCCGTAGTGTGTTCGCAGAATGGGCAGCGATTGATTGGTTATCCATTCCACAAAGTCCTCATGACTGAAGTAACCCTTTTTGATACCAGTGCATGGCAGGTACCCATTGACAGTGTATGATGGTAGAATTGCGTATGTGTCTCCCCATCTTATGTCCTGTGTGTAGCGGCTTGGGTGTCCAACTGGGCCATAGGCTTTGTGCCGCCACCCACACTTCTCGTTGAATAATAGATTCGTCTAGGAACACCAGATCATCAGCGGCAAAGCGTCTGAGACTCTGTCGGTATGCCTCTCGTAGGTGTTCATTGCGATGTATGGAGAATGGTCGTATAGTCTTCTGGGTCCAGTTCTGCTTTGCTAGGTATCGCGACACAGTTGACTGTGAGCAATGTACGCCTCTCTCCATAAACAACCAGTACATATCTAGTCCTGGTATAACCACACACTCCTGAAAAGACGGTCAAATAATTCCCCCCATCCTCTACGTCTATCTTCGATGGTCGACCCAGAACGCCAGTTGGTACCTTCTGCACAGAACCAGAATCTACTAAGTTGTCCTCAACATTCCTGACAGCGTGGAGCGAGCAGCCTTCACAATTAGCAATAGTCTGATGGTTCCAGCCGAGTAGGAGAAAGCGGCAGATATTAAGGCGTGTCTGGTTTGATAGGCCACGATTGCTCATGGGAGGTGGGAGTCGTGGTGTTGGAGCGTGTGGCTGTCGCCCGACCCCATGGGCGCGATACATGATGAACTACAACACCAAAAACTATAGTTAGTCTGCTGCAATAGATGCACACTGCTGGGCAACACGTACTGTACAATAAACTGCAGTTTGTGCAGCTGCATGCGTTAGTTCATGATTTGACGCGATTTTGTGGGTAAACGGGTGTTGCGCGCGAAAGTTGGGATGACGCCAAGCAAATCCCCACTTTTTGCATACAATAGATGCATGTGTGCCTTCGCGCCTTCCAGAGTCTGACCACCCCGCATGCACCTGCAGAATGAACCGCTAACAGCCTCGGACTCGAGGTCTTCAACAGCTTGACCCTAGACTAGACTCATCACGACCCTAAACTACTACGTCGGACATTACACTGTTGTTCCAGACATTATCACATTGAGCTTCTCCTGTTAAAATGACCGTTCCACAACCCTCACAAGATGCACCAAACATCGCAATCGTTGGTGGCGGCATCGCTGGCGTAACGCTTACCATAGCTCTCCTCAAACAATGTCCGCACTTTCGCATCACCCTCTATGAATCTGCCTCAGCGTTCGGTGAGATCGGAGCAGGTGTCGGCTTCCAGCCCGTGATGGTTCGCACAATGGCTTTGATTGATCCGCGTATCGCTGTTGCGTTCAAGAAGTGCATTCAAGGGAACGAAGAAACGGACCCTCCGATATGGTTCACGGTGCGAGTTGGTGATCAGAGAAAGAAGGGTGTGGCTGTTGGAGAAGAGTTGTTTAAGATTCTGAGTCGGAGTGGGCCAAGGGGTGGTGTGCATCGTGCGCACTTTTTGGCTGAGTTGGTGAAGTTGATTCCGGATGGGATCGCGCAGTTTCGGAAGCGGGTTGTTGATATTACGAAAGCCGAAGATGGCTCAGGTATGTTACGGCTTGCTCTTACATGCAAGGCGTGATTAATCTCACATCTGTGAAGGTGACGCGCTGCTGCATTTTGAGGATGGAAGCACAGCCCAGCATACAGCGGTACTTGGATGTGACGGCATCAAGTCACGTGTTCGTCCGATTGTTCTTGCCGAGTCAGATCCAGCCCCAGCTGTGTTCTCAGGCAAGTATGCATATCGCGGTCTGGTGCCGATGGACAAGGCTATTGAGATTCTTGTGGGAGATGAGCCAAAGACAGCACAGCTGCATCTCGGGTATCATGGGCATGTACTCACATATCCCATTGCCAACGGCAAGATTCTGAACGGTATGTGATTCAGCGTTTGACTACTTGCTGCCCACTGAATTTTCGGTAGTTGTGGCATTCTCCTCTCGATCAACTTGGGAAGATCCCGAATGGGTCACGCAGACATCTCGAGAAGATATGCTCAAAGACTACGAGCATTGGGGCCCCAAAGTGCGCGCACTTATGTCACATATGCAATCACCTGATATCTGGGCGCTCTTCAATCATCCACCAACTTCGACATACTACCGCTCCGATCCGCTCGTATGCCTTGTTGGCGATGCAGCTCATGCTTCGACTCCGCACCAAGGCGCTGGTGCAGGCATGTGTGTCGAAGACGCGTACATTCTGAGCCAAGTACTCTCAACGTGCCACTCGAAAGAGGATCTCGGCATTGCATTCAACGCCTATGATGCTGTGAGAAGACCCAGAAGTCAGAAACTGGTGAAGACGAGCAGAGAAGCGGGTATGCTTTGGGATTTCGAAAGTGAGGGTGTGGGCGATGACTTAGAGGCTCTCGAGAGGAATGCGACGACGAGGATGGGTTGGATTTGGGACCACGACATCGGCGTAGACCTGGCAAAGGCAGAGGAGATCGTGACCAGAAATAGATAGAAGCGGAAATATCGGTACCACTTTTTATTGGAGCGCCCGTGTTGTCGCATTCACCTTCACTTCACCTGAATTGCACATCACGTCATTAGTGCGGATCGGTGTTCGCTTCTGCCTTCTGCCTGCACCCTGTAGTCCGGAAAGTGCCGAAACTGGTCTCACTACCTGTCACGGTTCAGGGTGCTCCTGCCTGTCGAAACTCACCTGCCAAGGGAGTGACTGCCACGTCACACTAGCGTTATTTACAGCTACTCACCTATATGTACTGTCCGTAGCTTCACCCAATACAACCTCAGTTCAATCCTTCAATATTTCCGCACATGCGTACTGATCATTCACGATCCCGGACACTACCTGTCAAAGTAGAGCGACACATCTTGTGTCACGGTTCATGGTGCTCCTGCCTGTTGTACCTCACCTCCATGAGAGTGACTGCCACGTCACACTAGCGTTGTTTACAGCTACTCACCTATATATACTGTTCGTAGCTTCACCCAATACAACCCCAGTACAATCTTCAAATTCTTCCCTTTGCGTACAGTTCTTCACTGAACTCTGACACTTTCACTTGGGCGATTTGGGTGGGCACTCTTATCATAATCTTCGCCGCTAGTGAGAACCAGCTCTCTTACAAGATTGCTTTAGGGCTCGCAGACCGAAGTGTCGAAGTACTACAGCATATTTCACTTCGAGGTACCAGCTGGCCTGAGTCCTGCAATGTTGCCATCAACAATCTCACCGCCCGACTAAGGCGGTCACGCGAGTAAAGCATCAGCACATCACGATCAGAGACAATTGAAGCCAAGGGTTCGAAGAACTTCGAAGTTCCTACCCTAGCTCGACCCTCTCGACAGGCTCAGCATCCTTCGAGCCGCCTGCAGGGTTCATATAACGCAAGGCAGAACCAGTCTTCTCAACATGTCGCGCTCAACGCGAGTGCACCCGCGAAGTCACCGGGAAGTGACCATTCTCAGATCGCTTCTGGCATTTTCGAACCAACTACTATCGATCGGTTAGGTACCGCGTTCAACATTGTCACCTATCAAGGTCCTTCCATGGCCGCAGACACCTGCCTCAATGGCTCGGGCGATTTTGTAGGAATAGCACAGCAGTCATCTGACATCCCTCACCCACAAGAAGAGACCACGCAGCTATTCAGCAGCGAAGATATGACTTGGTGGATGGGTGTTGACTTTGAACTTAAGGAGATTTAGTGAAGTTTTTCGAATACACTGCGCTGGAAAGTCACTATCTACACTACTCAACATGACTTGGACGGTACGACCTTGCCCAGCTTCGCTGCTTCGAACGCATCATGGATCTCTTTCTCGGCGCCTTGGACAAGTGGCAGCAAACCACTTCGTACTGTGGCGTGTTTCAAGATACCGCGGGCCAACAGACCGTGCTTGAGCGCGACGGTGCCCTCCATGTGCGATCCGTGGTGGTATACATTTCTTGTGACGGGTAGTAGCATGTCATGGACAGCACTTGGGCGAACGTAGTATCATGCCTTTCCTGCCTCGATCGTCTCGAAAAGCGGCCTAAGTGCAATGTTTCTATAGCCGACAAGCATGCCATCGACATAGAAGCATGTATGCAGCAAGTACTCGTCGTGGCACGTCAGGATTCATCGAGACACTGTCGGTTTAGAGTCAAGCAAGGAAGTCAAAGCCGGTTTCATACAAGCCCTGCGCGACTCTATACTATCTACTAGTGTTCGTGCAGAATATGCATCTGAGCGCCACATCTTTCAACCAGGTGCACGGGAAATCACTAGTGGATCGGATCTGTTACTGATACACAATGACAGTTCTTCCCTACCGTGGTCTCATCACTCAGCTTCAACACCACCATCATTCTTGTCCTCACTGCGCCGCTATTTCTGGTTGCAGGTGTGATTGGTAATCTGCGTTGGCATCTCGTCAGGCAAATTGAATGATCGCGCTTGGCACATCACAGTCATGATGGGCATCGCAACAATCGCTTTCGTGATCAGTGCAGTCAAACTCAACTTACCAGCTCGCTGTATCTCATGCTTTCGCTTCGCTTCGCTTCAGGTACGTCAAAGATGCACCTTTCGACTAAAAAAAGTCTTCCAGACTGACATAATCTCGTGTTGCGGTTTGTGGATAATGCGCAGACAGGGAAAATTAAAGAATTGAACTGGGGTTGTTTTGTATGAAGCTACAAACAGTATGTATAGGTGAGCAACAGTAAACAACGCTAGTGTGACGAGGCAGTCACCCTCATAGCAGGTAAAGTACAACATGTGAGGTACGACAGGCAGGAGTCACCCTAAATCGTGACATTTCCCCAGGTGTCTACTCAGTGAACTCGGTCATCCTTGGTTGGGTCTCGGGATCCTTCGGTCAGACCCTAGAAAAAAAAGCCATATCTCTCTCTATCGTCAATGTCGTCTCAATGGCCGACTTCATTTACACGCCCTACCTCTGTCCTAAACGGACGGGCCGAAATACGTCATCGCAATGAGCAGCAATGCATCTTTTGCGTTTGCGAGCATCGCCGCTGCCTGGGTGCTCCGTAGTTGGGTAATGGTACGGAACAAGAGGCTGAAGAGAAATGGCGGCAACGTTTTCTACAAATACTGAGCTGCCCAATTGAAACAATCGATTCATGTTCTTAAAATCATCAGAACCTCGACCGGCTGGCAGAAACTGGAGCTATCATGCCTCACAATATTTGCAATGCGATTGTTTGCAATTCAGAAGACGACAGGTGAAGATATGATACAATGAATTGAGTAGCCTTCAAGACCACAAGAAGATATCGCTATGCCACAAAATGCCGGGGCTCCTGTTCTCACTTTCGCTACACTGCAAACGGCCCAACATCTACTGGCCGAAGGTGAACTCGGGGATGTCGATGTCGGTAACCTTCCAGGTGATGCCACCGTCATCAGTGGACATCTCGCCAGTGACACCATCACCCTTACCCATAGTCTGGTCGTAGTTGGGGTCGGCAGTGTCGAGGGTGATGACAGTGTCAATCCACTTGTGGGCAGGCATAGTACCGCAGTTGTTCTCGGCGCACTCAACAGCGCTGCCCCAGCCCTGTGCGTGACCGTCGCTGGTGCTGAGGGTTGCGACCTGCTTGTCGTTGATCGAGACGTATTGAGTGTAGTTGCCGGTCGCGTCATCGAACTTATCTTTGCTAGTGTTAGATGGGTTTTGGTGTGCTCAAATCTTTGCTGCTCACAGTGCATAGTGATCTTCTCGCCCTCGACAGCGTTTGTGCCGTCGGTCTGAACGGGCATCTGCGAATTGGCTCCGGTGCTCAGGAGTGTGTAGGCGAAGATGCTCCAAGTGTTGGAGTTCCAGTTGTCGGCGATCGACTGGATCAGGTCGCCGTTGGATGTACCCATGCCGACCCAGAGAGAGGCATCGCCAGAGCTACTGCTGGGTGCCTTGGGCAAGACAAGAGTGGAAATGGACTCGCGAATCCAGGAGCCCGAGCCAACAGGACCGGTGCTGAAGGCTGGGCCCATGGCAGCCTCAACAGAGGCGGCAGCGGCGAGGACAGAAAGGATCTGGCGGGAAGAAGGCATTTTGACGGTGTGAAAGAGTGACTCCGGGTCAAGAGTGAAAGGTAGGTATAAATTGGTATGTACAAGAAAGTTGGAACGAATGTATGATGATGGATTATTCAAGAGCGAAACGAACTGCTTTTTAAACTTAAAAGCGCATTGACAATGGTTCGTCTGTCCACCTTTTTCGGGCATGCGTTTCGCGCGACTGTTCACAGACCACCGTATAAGTGGATCTTGCCGTTGTGCCTTTCATCTCGACGTTTCTTGTGCCCGGGGACATGCCTCCGTTAGAGCAATCTGTTCCGTGCAAGCCTCTTTTACGACTATATTTCTCCGCAATCCTTGTTTTTCCTTGGCCGGAGCTTAACTCCAGACCCTGCCTTCTGATCAGCGCACGGCCCGTGCAGCCACTTTGGCATGTTGGCTGTTTCGAAGATCCCAGTAACCCTGCAGCAACGTTGACGTTTAAGACATTTGAAACGCGGCAAGAACTGCCACCTCACTGTAAGACCAGCGTGACGTATCGCCGCTCCTTACAGTCAACCTGGAGTCGGGGTTGTCTATTGTTCTTGAAGTGTTCATTACCTCCCCCCATGATAGACCTTTTTTTAAGGAAGACATGAAAGGCTGGTACCCTGAGAGGTTTCTTGTACAAAGTGAGCTCGGGGGATTTCTCTAGCAAGGGGGCTTGCTTAGGCTCTGGTCCTGTAGGGTCGGATGCTTTCGCACTTAACCGCATTGCCATACCGTGCCCGTGCACCTTGCGGGCCTGTTCAGCTCATGGGCCACCCCACCATCTTTGAGCAATACTTTGCACGCCCTATAACTCAACACTACAATGCCAGTAAAAGAAGCCCTTACAGACATAGATAGTTTGAGACCAGGAGAACAATTTTTGTACTGCTTTCTGGCCAAAAAACATGGCTGTTCTTGCACTACGTTGATGCGCCAACACCAGGGTCAAGCTGTCATCCTGACATGGCTTGCAGCCAATAACAATCCACCCAGTCACACCTCATGGAACCTCATGGAATCCCATGGAACCTCATGGAATCCCATGGAACTGTTGAAGTTGTGTCTTAAGCAAAGCTCGTAGACACTATTCGATTGGTTCTCGGGGATGAGCAGAGGTACAGAAAGCCGTCGGGGGTTGGTTATCACTGAGCGAGCTCGGAG